AGCGTTGTCAGTACCCAAGTGGAAGGATGCAATTAGGGCTGCAAGTCAGGCCGGGTTAGGTTGGTTGAATCCAACCCTAGCCCAACCCTAAGTTCTAAACCCCAACCCAACCCAACCCGAAGTCAATTTCGGGTTGGGTTTGGCCCAACCCAACCTTCTTCCCATCCCTTAAAACCTCATAAATTTCTCGATTTTAGATCTTAACTCAACTTTCACTACATATATTAATCCTATGTTTCATTAGTATTTGTTTGTTGACTTTTTTTTTTTGGTACACAATTCAAAAAAACAAGTGTTAGAAATTAGGGCTGTTCATAAGAAGGCCCAACCCGACCAAACCGACCAACCCGAGTCGGGCGGCTTTTCATCAGCACTGGTCGGTTTCGGGTTGTACAAATTAATAAACCGATGGTTCAGGTTGGTTTCGGTTTTCTTGTGTGAAAACTGAAACCGACCCAAACCGAACCGACTTAGTTCCTACTTAACTAAAAACCTAAATATTTGAAAATATATATTCCAATATCTATATCTAAAAAATATATATTATGAAATATGTCAAATATATATTTCCAGAAAATATATATTCCAATATATTTGTATGTATATTTTTGTTTATATATATATATATATATATATTTCTAAAATACATATTTCAGTTTTAAATATATTTCTAGAAAACTAGGTGGCCATGGGGCATGGATGAACTTAGAGCCGAAACCGACCCAAACCAACCCAACCCGACTCAAACTGACCAGGTCGGTTTTGCTTAACACTGGGTCGGTTTCGGTTTCCATCTCAGGTAACCCGACCAGGTCGGGTCGGTTGGAAAAACCTCAGTAAACCGACCCAACCCGACCCGTGAACAACCCTATTAGAAATAATGAGTTATGGCTTACAATAGATCTTTCTTGGGCAGTAAACAATATAGAGGAGATGAATAAAATTTTCGAAAAAACATAAAATAATATTATTAAGGTTTTAGCCTTTCTGATTAGGATTAAGTGAAGTGATTATCTTAAAGGATACTATGTAGGGGGGGCTATACAAATATCATGCATCTAAACACATCAATGTATGTTATATATTACATATAACATATATTTATATATGTCATGTACTATAGAGTCGGGTTCAGTTTGGGTCTGGTTGGCTAAGGGGTCAACCCTAACCCAACTCGAAGTAAAGTCGGGTTCATGAATTTCAACCCTAACCCTAACCTGAACATCAACCCAACCTAACCCAACCCAATTTTTTCGGGTTGGGTTCGGGCCAACATAACCCAAGTTGCAGCCTTAGATGCAATGTAGGTAAAGATGAATGCTCTTCTAAAGAACAATACATGGGAGTTAGTTGAGCAGCCTAAAGGAAAGAAACTAGTTGGGCGCAGATGGGTGTTTACAGCAAAACATAATGTTAATGGCTTTGCTGAAAGATATAAGGTCAGATTAGTTGCCAAGGGGTTTACACAGACATATGGCATAGACTATTTGGAGACCTTTGTACTAGTGGCCAAGATGAATACTATTAGAGCCCTACTACCCCTTGTAGCAAATTTCTCATGGCCATTGTTTCAGATGGATGTCAAAAATGCCTTCCTCAATGGTGATTTGCAAAAGGAGATGTATATGGAGTCACCTCCTAGATTCTATAGTACAGAAGTAGGGGAGAAGGTCTGTTGCCTGAATAAAGCCTTATATGGACTGAAACAGTCTCCAAGAGTGTGGTTTGACAGATTTAGATAGGCCCTTGATAAATTTGGATCTATTCAAGCTGAATCAGATCACACCCTTTTCATTAAGAAAAATGATCCTCCTTGACCCTACTTGTATATGTGGATGATATTGTGGTAATAGGGAGTGATACTCGTGAGATTGACCCTCTTAAGCAATTGCTTCACCAAGAATTTGAGGTCAAAGATTTGGGAGAACTACAATATTTCTTGGGCATTGAGGTAGCACGGTCTAAACACGGGATTTTTGTTTCCCAAAGTATTTTCTCGACTTTTTGGAAGAAACTAGGAAGATAGGCGTTAAACCTACTGGCACACCTATTGAACAAAATCATAAGATAAGTGTAGAAGGTGGAGAGCCCCTTAAAGACAAGGTTATGTTTCAACGGTTGGTTGGGAAACTCCTTTATCTTTGCCTCACACGACCGGGCATTTCTTATGCGGTCAGTGTTGTTAGCCAGTATATGCATTTCCTCAGAACCACTCATCTTGCAGCTGAGAGGATCCTTGCTTATTTGAAGAGATGTCCAGGTGGAGGCATACTCTTCAAAGATAATGGTCACATGAAAATAAAAGTCTACACAGATGTTGATTGGGCTGGGCATGTTGATGATAGGAGATCCACCTCTAGGTATTGTGCTTTTGTAGGAGGAAATCTTGTCTCTTGGAAAAGCAAGAAGCAAAATGTTGTTGCTCGTTCTAGTACCGAAGCTGAATATATAGCTATGGCGAATGGTGTGGCTTAGGATTATGGCTGAGATCCCTATTTGAGGAATTAGGTTTTACTTATGAGAGGCCCCTGATGCTATACTATGATAATTAGGCTGCTATTTAACATTGCTTATAATCCAGTTCAACATGACAGAACTAAGCATATTGAAGTGAATTGACACTTTATCGGAGAGAGTTGCCTCTGACATGCAGCTTGCTGATCTCTTCACTAAGGCGGTGCCAAAGACCAAGTTGGAGGCAGATTTACGCAAATTGGGAATGATTGGTATCTATTCTCAACTTAATGGAAGGGATTATGGGGCCATTTGTTAACATCTGAAGTGGCTGAACTGAATGAGCTTTGTCTTTTTGTGGCTGAAATATTAAAATAAAAAAACTAAAAGTAAAATATTCAAGGATATAGTAATCAACCCAACTTTAGCTTCAGCCATTAAGGAGCTCAGTCTCCTTAAAAACTTATTCACTAAAAGACAGCCATTTCAGCTGTTATCAAACTACCTCTACAAGGACATGAATAATCTTACCAAGTGAGAAGAGGATAAAAAATTAATAATCTCTAGCACTTTTGCCTAAGTGTCCTCTCAGATTGAAAAGTCCATGTTTTTACCACTGCACCAAGCAAATGGCCCTTTTGCTTAAAATTTAGGTATACCATACAGGTTGCCATGCATCCTAATGAAATTTCTCACATCAGACAATTTTATTTAGTTTCTCATAGCAATTCTGCATTCTATTTGTAATGGTTAATTTGGTTTTGCTTGATACACTGCACTGTTTGAATAATGGAATTTTCTTTCTGCAACCTTTACAGGGACTAGGGTGATGAATCAGTTTGGGTGGACATTTGCTGGTAAGTTTAGGACTGACATTAGGATATAAGATGAAAGCATGGAAAATTACGTTATTGTGATGCGTTTGTTTTGGTGATACACATTAGTGTAAATTCTTTCTCTTTGTAGTTTTGTAGTACTGATCTGCAGTGCAAATCCAGTTTTTTACATCACTGAATTTCATTTTTGTTAATGGTCTTGATGTCCTATTGCATAACCAAGAGTTCTGTTTTCTTTTAATCAGCGAGTTATTTTTTTTTCTTCTGAATTGTTAATGGATTGGAAGTAAATGTGTCTTTTCGTACCTTTTAGTAGCAGGGGAAGGATGTAAATTAAATAGCACAGTAATTATGGTTTTTAGTAGATTTTGAAATCTATCAAGAATCACTTGGAGAGGCAATTTGGATTTTGGAGTGTCATTTTATTTCAGTCTTACGATTTGTTGAAGTCCAAATTTATGTGTTAGAAATTAGAATAGGAGTTAACCAAATCTAAGTCTGAGTTGCAAATTGATTTTAGAGGTTATGGTTTAACATATGTCTGTCTTTCTGCTATGAGCTAATTGATTTCGGATTTCTTGGTTACTGAGTATCGGTACTGTTATCTCAGTGGCTTTAGCAGTTCGAACCAGAGGAAGAAGAAGAAGAAGAAGAAGAAAAGGAACAGTCGAATCTGATAGCTTAAATCCTATCAGTCGACCCTAGTATGAATTAGTCTCTAATTAGCTGTACAAAGACTAAACTCCCCCTCACCCACTTAAGTATGGGACAGGAAGTCTCTATTAAAACTTCCACATAAGCACATAACTTAACAAAAATAAAATGACTAATTTACCCTTATTCAGTTAGCTCTAACACTCCTCCTCAAGCTGGAGAATATATATCATATAATCCTAGCTTGTTACATATATAGTTCACTCTCCTTGAGCTTAAGCTTTTTGTAAACAAATATGCCCATTGATCACCTCAACCCACATGTTTTGTGCTTATCTCTCCAGTAAGGACCTTCTCCCTCACAAAGTAGCAATTAATCTCTATGTGCTTTGTTCTCTCATGAAAAACATGGTTAGATGAGATGTGGAGTGTAGCTTGATTGTCACAGTACAATTTCATAGGTCTATCCATGGAGAACCCGATTTCTTGTAGGAGATTCCTCAGCTATATTAATTCACATGTAGTGTGTGCCATGGCTCTGTATTCGGTTTCAACACTGCTCCTTGCCACAATCGTCTGCTTTTTACTCTTCCATATCACAAGATTTCCTCCAAGAAATGTGCAGTAACCTGTAGTAGATCTTCTATCAGACACAAGAGCCTGTCCAATCTGCATCTGTATACCCAATTACCTCAAGTCTTTCTCCTGGTTTGTTCAATAACCCACGGCCTGGAGCTCCCTTCAGGTACCTTATAATTCTAAGAACTGCATCCAGTGAAGTATCCGAGGGTTCTGCATAAATTGACTCACCACACTAACTGCAAAGGAGATGTCTGGTCTTGTGATAGTCAAATAGTTCAGCTTCCCCACTAACCGTCTATACCTTCTAGGATAATCAAATATTTCCTCTGTATCACTGCTCAACTTAGCATTTGGCTCCATGGGAGTTTCAGTTGGTTTTGCACCTAACAGTCCTGTTTCATCCAGCAGATCAAGAACATATTTTCTTTTGTACAGGTTTATACCTTGTTTTGATTTAGCAACTTCTATACTTAAGAAATACTTCAATGTCCCAAGGTCTTTTGTTTGAAAATGGTTTTGCAGAAAGACCTTTAGTTTATCGATCCCCAATTTGTTACTACTAGTTATGACAATATCATCCATATAGACCATTAATAAAATCTTTCTGGCTTTTGAATCATAGTTGAACACCGAGTGGTCAACCTGGCATTGTTTCATTCTAAAATTTTTCACCACTTCACCAAATTTCCCAAACCAAGCACAAGGCGATTGTTTCAACCCATAAATTGCCTTTTTCAATCTGCACATCTTACCATCCTCCCCCTGAGCAACAAATCCAGGTGGTTGCTCCATATATACATCCTCCATAAGGTCACTATGAAGGAAGGCATTTTTAATGTCAAATTGAAACAATGGCCAATCATACATAACTACCAGGGAAATTAAGACACGGACAAAGCCAATCTTAGCCACTGGAAAGAAGGTCTCCATTATAGTCCACCCCATACAATTGTGAATAACCTTTAGCAACAAGTTTGGCCTTCAGACGCTCTACACTACCATTCGGCAAGTATTTAACATTTTACACCCATTTACAACCCACAACATGTTTACCGGGAGGAGTAGAAAGCTCCCACGTTTGAATATGCTAAAGGGCAGAGAGTTCCTCCTCCATTGCCTGTCGCCACCCAGGTGAGCTAAGAGCCTCTTGAACATTCTTAGGTATAAAAATAGATGACAACAGTGAAACAAACTAGCGATGTGAAGCGGAAAGGTGAGAGACTGAAACAAAATTGGAAATGGGATGGTGGGTATAACTATGTTTACTTTTTCGTAAAGCAATGGGAAGATCAAGTCCTGAGGGTTCTGGGACATGAGCAACAACAGGATCCGCAAACAAGGTAGAAGCTGAAGGAGGAGCTGATGTTTGTCGATGAATATACACGTGCCGGATCGGTGGTTGTTCAGTAGGGATCTGCATTGGAGGAGGTGAATGGTCAATCCCAATTGGAACAACCGGAACGGAATCATGGACTGTAAGAGGAAGAGGAAGTAAAGGTGGAGACACCGATGCTTCAGGTCCTGAGAAGAAGGGGACAGACTCAAAAAAGGTGACATCAGGACAGACATAGCACTTCCGAGTAATGGAATTGTAACACTTATGCCCTTTCTGAGTCTGAGAGTAGCCAAGAAAGACACTTAATAGAATGTGCATCCAGCTTGTCTATCCCAAGGCTCAAATTGTGAACAAAGCACACACAACCAAAGATGAGGGGTGTTAATGGAAAGGGAGACAAGGCGGGGAACAAAATAAAAAAGGGAGACCGACCATGAAGAATGAAGGAGGGCACCCGATTAATAAGGAAACACACAGTAAGTACAACATCACTCCAAAATAGTTTAGGAACACTCATATGATGAAGAATAGACCGAGTAGTTTCAAGGAGATGATGGTTCTTTCGTTCAACCACCCCATTTTGTTGAGGAGTGGATGCACATGAAGTTTGATGAATGATGCCATGCTGTTCTAAATACTATTGAAAGGAAGTAAGAAAGTATTCACGACCGTTATCTGAACGAAGAACTTTGATTAGAACACCAAACTGTGTATATATTTTAGCATGGAATTTTTGAAAAATGGAAAATAATTCACTCATTTCTTTCATTAAATAAATCCATGTCATTCTTGAACAATCATCAATAAAAGTGACAAAATACTTGTAACCATTATAAGACTCTATTTTAATCGGACCCTAAACATCTGAATGAACCAAAGCAAAATGACTCAACATACGACTATCAATTCTAGGACTGAAGGGAACCCAACGATATTTCATATATTGACACGACTCACACTGTAAAGACAATAAATGATTCAAAGACGGAGTCAGTATCTTGAGTGCCTTGAGAGATTGATGTCCCAGTCGACAATGCCACTGTAGAGGAGTGAGTGGAGTCTGAAGTGCAATTGACGATCCACCACCGTCAAGGTAATACAATTCACCAGCCTCATGCCCCCCACCAATCTTCTTCCCCGTCTTGAGATCCTGAAAAACACAAGGAAGGGAAAAATGTAATAGAGCAATTAAGAGTCTTGGTTAATTTACTAACAAACATAAAATTGAATGGAAACTTAGGGACATATAGAATAGATGATAAAGAAAGAGAAGTCGTGTCAACACTACCAACACCACAGATGAGAGAAGAGGAACCGTTGGTAAAGGTAACGGTTTGAGATGTGGAAGTTTCAGAGAGGGAAGAGAACACATATGGAGTTCGGTCATGTGATCAGAGGCTCTAGAGTCAATAATCCAGGGAGAGGGTTTGGATGCCAGACAAGCTATACTTGAGTGGGCAAGGGTGGCTATAGTATGTTGTGAAGTAGACTGGAGGAATCTCTCATACTCGGTGCGCGGTACACTCACCATCTCCTTCCCGGAAACAGATGTAGATGTGGAAGGTGTTAGGTATGCCTGTTGGTTATCACTGACATCAACCCCACCAGCTACTGCATGATTAGCCCATGTAGGAGGGCCATGAAGATCATAACAGAAATTCATGAATGTCCGTCCCTACCACAATGGGTACACTTACACTGAGTTGGCCCATGGCACATAATTCTCACCATTAAGTTTAATGGAGGTCATCTGCACACCCAAATAATCAGAGGGGATCATCACACTTGGTTTCTGATCACTAGAACCACCTCCCGTTACTGCCATTATGTCTCCCCCACTGCTATCTCTAATGCTGAACTATCAGTCACCAACCAAATACTACAACAGCCAAGGCAACACTACAGCAGTCTCTAAACTCAGGTGATAGGTTCACAACAAGTCACAATCAGTCACCACTGTGCACAAACTACCATTCAGATTAAGAACAAAAGGTAAACCAACATTCAGACAACACTAACAAGGCATAAAAATTGACGTAGGCAATTCGACCATTCCTTCCAGCCCAAAAAAAAAAAAAAAACAACTTTTGTTCTTGCTCACACCACTACTGATTACATGGAGTCATAAATCACCACTACAGTAATTCAACAATTTTTTTTAAAGGTCACTACCAGTCCAAAGACATCAACTACAACCACTACAGTAACCCTTACACCATTCGGTCACTATAAACACAACCTGTTCTTGGGCCTTTTGCCAAGAACCAATGCTACAAATAACCTAGTTCTTTAAGTTCTGATCAGTCCGAGCAGATTTTTGAGGGTTTTCCAACCCATAAACACCAATAACACAAAAAAAAGGATAACCAACCTTGATGGAGAGCTTCAGTCGACCATCCACTTATTTCTGAAGTTATTCTCTTGAAATGCAATCAAGTTCTGAGCAAAGAAAGAGAGGCCAAAGTGTTCTCAAACCTAGGTCGAGTCTGTGTTCTCCATTTGCAGTCCAGAGAGAAGAAAAAGAAGTCACGAACAGAAAGGAGCAGCAGTCACGAGCAGAGATTTAAAGAGCAACGTCCTTCTCTGATATCATGTTATCTCAGTGGCTTCAGCAGTTCAAACCAGAGGAAGAAGAAGAAGAAAAGGAACAGTCGAATCTGATAGTTTAAACCCTATCAGTCGACCCTAATATGAATTAGCCTCTATCTAGTTGTACAAAGACTAAACTGCCCCCCACTTAAGTATGAGATAGGAAGTCTATTAAAACTGCCACATAAGCACATAATTTAATAAAAATAAAATGACCAATCTACGCGTATTCCGCTAGCTCTAATGGATACCTTAAGAAACAACTGAGGAAAATGCAACAAGGCTCACTTGACATCCCGGGACTCTCGTCTCATTCCTCAAAAGTACGAGGCACATTTTTATAATCAAAAGATCCAACTTATTATTTCTGTTTATTTAGGTAACTGTTCTTTTATTATATAGTTAACAAATAAAGGACTCTCAAGTGGTTTATGCTGTGTTGTCACAAAATATTGTGGACCTCACATTTCTTTTCATTGCAAGGAGCGAATGTCGCAAGTTTTTGCTTGATTGAAAAAGATACTTTATCGAGTCTGTATCGCAAAAAGTACATGGTTTTTACATTGTGATTACGCCATATTTTTAGAAGACATGATAAAATGATTTTCATTGACATCTCTAACACCGTTGCTATCCCAGTTCCCAAGCCCAAGGAGCATTCTTTTCTTTATATTTTCATATGACTGACACCCTTGCATCTCCCTCTACCACACCATTGGTTTCTGTTTCTATCAGCAAAGTCAAACCAAGGACCATTCTGCTTCTATACTGTATAGTGGATACGGCTATTCCTCTTTACTCTCCTCTATCTTGGCCTTGAATGGGCCAACTTTGCTTCTACATGCACCATACCATGAGCAATAATGAGCCTTCTCCTGGAACGTTGATATTGAGTCGCGTTTCAAAGAGAGGATGGTCAGAAACTCAACAGAAAAGCGAGGTGACACCATGGGTTTTGCGTGGTGGTTGAAGACTTGAAGGTATTCTAAATTCATTGCAAACTTACATGGAAGGCATGCACTTGAGCACAATCCTTATTTGTCCAATGAGACTAATTCATATGTAATCCCTCAAATAGTTTTTTTCTTTTCTGTATTACTTCTACCTCTGCCAAAAGCTTAAAGAGATCTTACATATTTTGTTCCCTCCAATTCTCACTTATTAAGGCTCATTTTGGAAGGAGTACAAACACAAATATGTAGAGTGTAAATACATACAGAATAGTATAAAATATAAGGTTTTGCGCTCTACATATTTGTATTTGTACTCTACATATTTGTATTTGTATTTGTGCAGAAAATAAGTCTGTATGATCCTACTTAAATCCATCTTTTCATGAGTGAACAGAAATACATTAAATCGTTTTGACAGCTTATGATTATTGGTCTGACTCGCAACTAATCCTTCCTGGCTTCAACCACACTAATAGGCTAATGGCTCCATCAGTTCTTCTAGTGCTATGAAATCTTTCAGCTGGTCTAACACCTGACGATCAATAACATTACAAGGCAATTCTACCCAATTTTCCACCGGCTGATGGTAAGGTTGGATGATCGGTCAGGCAACGTTTGGGCCCTTTTTGGTTTTTTTTGTAAAAGAAACAATTCATTAGGGAAAAAACAGAATACGAGGACCAAATAAAAAGACTAACAAAAACCACAGCATAAGATTCATCCAAACCATCCTCGACTGATTATTTTGAATACCTTCATAGTTCATACAACCAGGGGAGGAGCCGCTCCATACAAGCCATTCCCTGTCTCCCCAGTCCCCAACCTCTGAGTCTTTTGAAAACCGATATGTTTACAATCATCACTGCCATTCTTATTTAAGGAAATCTCTTAATGGAGTCTTAAAATTTGTTTTTGGATAGACAATGGAGTCTTAAGGAACTTCCCTACACAACCCCGTCTATTTGTATCATATGACGAATCCTGTAGCAAAATCTAAGACTGTCCACGAGACATGGAACCCATAGGATTTTCGCTCCTAAATGGCTAAATCATATATCTATATATATATATATATATATATATATTCTGTTTGGTATTAAAACTCAATAGTACTTAAAAAACCCCACACTTATCCCCAACAGCCAGCACAGTGATCTCACAACATTCCATTTTGATAAATGGTTGAACCTAACTCATAAGTGCTTGTCTTAGATGACAAGTAAGCGTGGTCATTTACAAAATAAGAATACTTTTGGTCTTTTCACTGGTGATGTCCTTGATCTATCAAAGAATGAGGTGTCCCAAATCAATAATAATACCCTTTTCTAATGACTCCTGTTACTGAGAAAGCTAGGATTGGACGAAATGTATCTTTACCCTGTTCAATTTATGACATGGCCCTGATGAGTTTGCTCCCAACTTCCTCAAAGCTTCTATTGACTTGCTCAACAAAGTTTATGCGTTTATTCTATGTCAGATGTACGATGAATAAATAAAAATTGATTATTTTATGGACCACGTTAATAGGGCCCTTTTCAAGAGTCTAAGGTTTAACCCATCAGGGCAAAAGAGGCATTTATTTTGAATGTTGTAGTGAAAACTGAAAACTGAAAAAGAAACACCTCGGCTGAAGCCTGTGGGTACTTACATCGACTCCTCAGTCCTCAGTCCTCACTGGGTCAGGATTCACTTCACCTGCACAGTACTGGTTAAGAGACCCTAACGTAGTCATCTGAGGGCCCATGGAATTATTTCAGATTCAGGTCCATCATATAATATCCATGATCCCACCTAAACTTGAAAATCGAAATGGATGACCAATGACCATGACCATGACCAATCTTCTTTATAGCGACTACCAACTATGGGCATGGAGCCATGGACTAGTAACTGCTCTACAAGGATCTGCCATTTCCAATGACTTGGTGCGCTCTCTCCGCCTCTCTGTTTCATGCTCACTTATCTAGGCTTTATGGTAAAAAACTAATAGGGGCGTGGACGAAAAAGAAACCCAGATCAATGACCAGTGTGCTGAGGACTATTAGTATCTATTGAAAAACAACTGCGGATTAGAATATATCAGTCTTCTGTCAGTCAGGATTTAGCACCTCCATAGCCAATGTCTGTTGTAGATGATGATGATAATAATGTGGGTACTGGAGCTACAAGTGTCCGTGGCTTTGTACAGACTTCAGCTCCGGTGTCTCATGCTGGAGGAATTCTATATTCTTTCCATTCCTTCCCTCTCTGGTCGAAGCGGAGTCTTGAAGGAAAACTTTGGTTGTTTAGGAAAAACAGCCTGGGCTAGGCATGAAACGTTACGTTGCCATGGGTGTGGAATAGAAAGAGAATTTGCAAATAATATGTGTGATGCACAGCAAACTCTCAAACAGCTCAGGCTGTTTTTTTTTTTTTTTTCCAGATATGAGATAACCAATTAAAGTTTTCCCAGACTTGGGAATTGAATCCCGCCTTCACCGAAGTCTTTGACTCTTTTGGGGTTTCTGGATTTGGGGGAGTCCCCCATAGGGTTTTTGGTTCTTATGAGCTAAAAAATACTCCAAATCAAGGGTTTTTGGTTGTGAGTGCTTATCTCTGTTTGCTTTGGCATGAAATGAACCGAAATCGTTTTCTAAATTCATCTATTAATCAATAGTTTTCTCTCCTCTGTGGCAAAAACATTATTTTTTAAACCATTTGCAATTTTGCACCAAAGTAAATTAATGGGGGCTCAATAGCTGAAATACTCTGTCTGAAATTTTGGAAACAAACGGAATATTAATAGATAAATAGAGGGAGTGTCTCAGGGTCAGCACAACACATGGACCAAGTAAACGAAGGCTAGAAAAATGAGCTGGATGGGAAGTTTATATCGTCTCTGTTATAAAGTATTTCTGAAAACCATCTTCCACACCAAACAGAACCCATTTCTGAACCCAAGTACCACCAACTAATTAACCTTCGTAGTTAAGATATTGCAGTCATCACGGTGCAGTAAATCGTACCGCCTCTGATCTACCGACTCGTGTCGGTGTACCCCGTGTTGGGAACCCATGGGTAACCGATTACCAAGAACTTTCTTCCCTCGCTCAACTTTTTCATCACGGAAATAGGAATAGACCCTACTCAGAAGAGAAAAGAAAAGAAATAAAATAAAATACAGAATTGGTTTAACAAAGGGAACTGTTTTAACCACCATTACTCCTCTTTATTTTCTTTTGATTATGATTATATTTTATTGTTTTACAGGGAGACTGGGAGAGTAAACTCAAGGTTCCCCATTTGTCATCATCTCCTTTAATTTTCTCTTTCTTACATTTTTCTTCTTTGGGTCTTGTTGCTTTTGGTCTTGTTTTTTCTTTTGTTGTTGTTCACAGTTTAGCTGTGGGTTGGTGCATCTCTCTCTCTCTTCCTCCCCCCCCCTCCCCCTTCATCTCAGGCGGATAAACCGGTGAGTTTTGCAGATCCAAAGAACCACAGCCGGGCGAAAAAAAGCTGTTCGGTTTTTTGGTATGCCGAATTAATGATGCATTTCTTCATTTCTTTCTTGGTGCCAAAGATTTTTTCTGTATTCTTTCTGAAGGTCATCTTTGAAGGTGTTGAGTAACAGAAACAACATTTGCTTTGAGGTGTTGAAGAACGAAAATACATTTTATTTTCCTCCTTTTCTCTTCAATGCCACTTGCGATGTTGGTGTTGTTGTTCCTGTTGCTTGCTTGTCTTTTTGAGTCTTAATGTTCTGCTACAATTGCATTTATTACTGTATAAATGTTCTCTTCATCTTTTTTCTTTCCCTTCTAATCTTGGTTGAAATTGATCGATAAGGGCGTTTATTATTGCTTTCTTGTATGTATATATGTATGTACTTCTGGTTTCTTGCTCAGTTTTCTTGTCCAGACAGACCACAGATTTTGATTGGCAGAGTAGTAGGGTTCAGTTTTTCCAACTATTTCTCTTATGTTCCCCTCCATAGGCGTGAACTCCCATCTGGGCTCTTGTTTATTACGAAAGAAAGTCTTTATTTTCTTTAAAAGCAGATTCATTTCTCTTGTACGTAGTATTAATTGTGATGCTGGGACTAAGGAGAAGGAGAAGAAAGGGGGTTTTGGTTTCCTCCCCTGTTTTGGGTTTCCCAGGTTTCTTGATCTGTTCTTCAGACTCATTGGTTTGTATCTCATGCATAGACTTCCAGTTTTTTTTCGTCCTTTTTCTTGTATTTTTCTTTTCTTCTTTTACATGTTCTATGAAACATCTTATTATTTTTTTTTATTCTCGTGGATCCTTGATGATTGGAGTACGTTGAAGTTCCTGTTCTTTTGGGAACATAGATCCTTTCTTCATCTATAATAGTATTTGATTAATGATGAATCTTCTCTGTTTAGGTTATTTCTTGAATATGAATAGTGATTTGTTAACAATTTTCTTTTTATTGATCTTTTTTTCTGTTTTTAATTAATTGAGCAAAGGGGCTTGTTAGGAGTGTTGCATGTCGGTTCTTGACATTTCCCTTTGTTTTGAAGGAAAATTCGATGGAGGAGGAAGGCGAGTTCCGGAGCTGGGATGAACTAATACCGGACGCGCTGGGGCTAATCTTCAAGAACCTTTCTCTTCAAGAGACACTGACTGTGATTCCAAGGGTTTGCAAATCCTGGAACAGAGCAGTAATGGGGCCTTACTGCTGGCAGGAGATCGACATTAAGGAGTGGAGCCTCCGCTGCCAACCTGAGCAGCTGGATCGAATGCTTAAAATGTTGATCAGAAGAAGCTGTGGTTCTCTCCGCAAGCTCTGTGTATCCGGCCTCCCCAATGAACCCATTTTGTCCTTTATCGCGGACCAGTAAGCGGACCACTTCTGTGAACTCATCCTGCTGATCTTTTTTAAGTCCTCTACTTAATTCAAAAATCAAGTGATTCCTTTTCAACTCTCAGGATTAGGCAGAGATTTTAGATGAACCCATTAACCCAATTTTGGTTTCTTCTTCCCTTGTTATTTTCTTTTGCTAGCTTAATCCATGGATTTGTTGATTTGGGTTTTGTTCTAATCCGTTTTGCAAGTGCCGGCTCCCTTCAAACCTTGCAGCTGCCGAGAAGTGAAATAAGTGATTCAATGGTGGAACAGGTAGCAGATAGGCTGTCTACAATTTCGTTTCTGGACCTCAGCTACTGTGGGAAGATTGGTGCCCGTGCTCTGGAGGCGATTGGGAAGCACTGTAAATTGCTGGTGGGGTTGAGACGGGTCATGCACCCATTGGAGGTTGAAGACAGATTCTCACAAGATGACGAGGCCCATGCCATTGCCACTACAATGCCCAAGCTCAAGCACCTTGAGATGGCCTACCTTCTCATCACTACAGAAGGTGTGCTTGAGATCCTCTCAAACTGCCGGGAGCTTGAATTCCTGGACATCAGAGGGTGTTGGGATGTGAAACTTGATGAGAAATTCCTCAAAGAAAAGTACTCAGGATTGAAGGTTCTGGGACCCTTGATCGTTGATTGTTACGAGAGGACTTACTGGGATGATTGCTCGGATTACTCAGACTCTTCTAGCTACTTGGACTGGGACTTTGTTGCTGGTGAACTGTATGATGGAGAGAGCTCTGATGGGGTTTGGGATGATGAGCAAAGGTTTGAGGAGTTGGAGCTGAGGTTCTACCAAGGATTTGAGGAAGATGCTGCTTTTGAATGGCCCCAGTCTCCTTGATTGCTCTTGCCTCTTGCTGCTGCTTCCATTTTCCAGTGGAAGGTTAGAGAGATTCTACCAATGCAATTTACCCCTAAATCTACTCTACTTGCAATCACTGTCACTGTTACTTAGCTGCCACTTCTACTTTGCTTGGGACCTTTTATTGATAGGTTTTAAGGATGTAAGCGTTGCCATATAAAAGTGCGTGCTTTGTATCTTTGATTCTCTTCTCAATTTCTCATTAAAAACAGGTTTATTCAATTAACCAAGGCAAAATATCATCACCTAACAGTCTCCTCCGTTGAACGAGCCTCAACTTGCTTTACTTATTGAGCTAGACAATAAATAAACAAAGGAATAAAGTAAAGTGGGAATCCATTAATGGTTATTGTTAATTCATGTTGGATCTAGCTAGCATTTGCATTTCATGATGTATATTTTGGCCGGTTTTGCCTTGAAGTTTTTAACCTCTCCTGTTTTGCCCAGGTTGTGTAAATATAGTCATCACTCAATCACTCGCTCTGATATGTGATTCCTTCTTTTAGTTCTTGATAAGATTCCAAAAGAGAAAAAGTGATCTCGTGTTTAGTCTCTATTCTCTAATGGTGGATGGTGGTGGTGGTGGGTCCTTCTCCCTATATTATGATTCCATACATCTTTCATAATTATTTATTTTTATTTTTTATTTTTTTGCACCAGAGCTCTTATCCAGTCCCCTCTGCTTGAAATTGAAATTAAATTGGACTTAGATAGGGTGGTTAGGGATAATTTGGGTTGAAAAATGATCAACTGGTCCTATAATAATCTTTTTTTTTTTTTAAATACTGGAGTGGAATATTTTCAAACATATAGAATTTGTTGCGTCAAATGTAGTTCTTGAACTACAACTTGTGTTTGAGTTTGAACCTTTGGTGTCCATTGTCCAACTCGCTTTAAATGGTCTAGGCTTTATGATAGGTCTAATTTAATTGCTACTCAAGTCATTCACCTTGGGTAATTTCTGTCATGTCAACCAACTGCAACCAGATGGTAGACGCCTAGACCGAAACAAACTCCTGATAAATATTTATTTCTGATGTGTCCCATTCACTTTCAGATATTTACTCTCAGGATATGTTTCAATCAAGGATACTCCTGGAATAGGTGATGTTTAGAAAATAAGGTAGAAGAAAACCTCCAAGTACATTTCAGTTGTGGACCAGCGGGACCACAGTTGGGAAAACCTGTAGACCCTGTTTCCTCGGGTAATTGAATTTTTTCATGTTTTTTTATTTTTTATGTAAATAAGAAATTATTATTTTAATTATAAAAATTTATTATTAAAAGAGATATCTTTGAACGTATTGATAACTTTTCCTCTAAAAGTTATTTATCTATTTAGGAGATAATTCGGATCAACTGAATATGATGGCTGTGGAACCAATAATGAGTTTCCACGCCATTAATAAATTTATGGGCCTCACTGTGATAGGTGTGAGGCCTATGTGTTTTTTATTATTGGTGTAGAATTTTATCATTAGTTTCACAGCATGCGGAACCGTTATTGTGTTTAATCAAACCTTGCTCTAGGAAATGGGTAATTAAACTTGTCTCGATGGTCATATAAATCTAAAGAAAAGAAGCCATTTCTCAAAATCCAAAAAAAAGAAGAACGCCCCCTTAAAGACGGTGAGATAGTATCCAGTTCCCACCGAGTTGGGAGTTGGGACGGCCTCTCTTCTTCCATGCAACAAGTTGGCCTAGATGGTATACAAAAGATCGGACATTTTCTTTTTTTCTTTTTTCTTTTTTTTTGATACACTTTTCAGGGCATTTCATACTACCTCCTCCCTTACTACCACACCCATTGGTAGTAAGGGAGGAGGTAGTATGAAATGCAAATTCTGATTTTTTATAAGTACTGACTGTACTGTCCATTGTAAAAATTAAGGCTGTCTGGTTGCCGTGCAAAATTATTTGCATTGATGCAAAATAATGATAATGCAAATTCTGATTTTTCTTTTTCTTTTTTTTATTTTACCTTATTTTGTTTAATTGCAATACAAATGAATAAAAATAAAGTCTAAAGGAGAAACAAGTCAAATCTAAAATAAAATTAAACAAAAAAAATTGTATTATTTTCATTTGCACTCCCTTGCATTTATATTAGTGCAAATAAAATTGTACTTCAACCAAATGCAGTCCAAGGTACAAAGATTTTCTCATTTTCTATTGTAAGACTTAAATGGGGTTAGGTAACATACCCTGAGGCTTTGGAAATTACTTAAACATATTCCCTAGGGGTTTAAAGTGTACTTAAACATACCTGAACTTAAAAGCATACTATGTTATTAAAAATGCACCATCACGTGACCTGTTTAAAAATTTTAAAACCCTATTTTACCCTCCTAACAATTGAAACAGCTATTTCTCCTGCAACTTAAGCTGATAACTTTTCCTCTTTTCATTGAGATCAAATCAGTCTCCCACAAGATTGTTCCCCATAATGTGCCGTGTATTGAGAACATCTCCTGATGATGATATCATCATTTCTGGTATTATCATTGGGAGATGTTCCCAATATCGGTGGGGATGTGCTGTGGGACGTTGGGGGGGGGGG